TGGCCAGGTGGACTGGGGCTCAGTCGGGAGCCGCTCCCTCAAACTTATGGAAGCAGCAAAGCATCCTTGAAAGCAGATCTTTCCAGGAACTCAATTTCCTACACTTTGCTACCAGGGAGTGATAAAAAAAAGATTCTTTTAAAAATATCAGCATGAAGAGAGATGACATGGAGGGGTGATATTGGGAACCATCCATTGCAATGTAACCCCCTCGTTTCCCAGATGCAGAAACCCAGAGTGGAAGAGACCTGTCCAAGGTTATTGATGGGCTCCAGGGCCAGAGATCAATCAGTAAACATCCCACTGTGGGCCTGAGAGCGAGAAGGCACCTCAGAGAACACGGAGCCCACACCCTCCTTTGGCAGAGAAGCCAGGTCCCACCGAACACTCACTACCTGGGCCTCAGTCTCTTCATCTGTCAAACAGGCAGGTTAGACTAAGTGGGCTCTGAGGTTCCCTCCAAAAGATGCTATAAGCCCATGGAAGCTGACACACCCAGCCCTTGTCTCCCTTGCTGCTGGGCTCACCAGAAGAAGGCACCTCCTCACACCACCCCGCTCTCCCCCAAGGGCTCTCCATTCCAGAGCTCTTTCCTACTGGTTTTCTCACCTGCCACTCCCAGGCCATGGCCGCTCCTCCAGGTCCTGAGACTTTGGGCTTTGTGTTTTCCCAGGCCCCTCCACATACAGGCCTGAGGGCACTAGGGATCACACCCAGGACCATCCTTGGAGTGCCTGCCTCAGCCTGGTTAGAATTCCCTCACAGAGCTGGCCCAGGAAGGCCAGGGCAGACAGGCCTGCGAATGCTGTCTCTTCCCTCTTCACGTACAGACTGCACACATTTAGTCTTCCTTTACACAGCCTCTTATTCCATTGGTTTCGTTCATCATTAGCCCTCCCCACCCTCACCACGACGATTTCACATGCACAGACGCTCCGGAGAGCTCGCCATGTACCCAGCCACACGAAGGCCCTGGACAGGGGTTGCCCAGGTAGCCTTTCTTTGTTTGAAAGTCGTTTCTGAGGCTGGCTGAGATGTGCTGATTTCTCACGTTGGTGTCCCACTCCAGAAGGGACCCTCTAAGGACACAGCACCAAGCAGCCTTCTGCTCCAAGCCGCCTCAGCACCAGGCAATGACAACAAAGGCAGCCCGGCATCAGAGCACCTGGCTTCCAATCCCAACGCGGCCCCGGGGCTGCTCGCTTCTACCTCCCACTGCCTCACGGTCCTCTGATGGCTCCCCCGTACCTGGAATGCACGCCCTCCTCACCTCGTCCTGGCTCCCTGCCCCCCTCCAAGATTCTGCTCAAAGCCCACTTTCTGCAAGGAGTCTTTCCTTGTCTTCTTCTCCCACCCCCACGTCTGCACAGACCTAATTATTCAGCCTGCGAGCCACGTGCGACTGCACCTCAGCTTCTTCCTGTGGTCCCTGAGGTCTTCCCTGCCAGCTCTAAAGTGATGCTCTAGGACCAAGCCCCTGCCCAGAGGAGCCCTTGGGCAGCAGCCCTGACAGGTCATCCCTCTGGGGCCTTGTGTCAGGAGAGGCCTTGCCTGGCAGTGACCAGGACCAAGGCAAAGAGGGGGCAGCACTCGTGGGCCATGCAGAAGGCCCATTCCTAAAAGCAGAGATGCCAACAGGCCAAGAGACCCCAACAATACCTGGGACTGGGGAGACAAACCATGGAGTGAACCAGCTCCAGAAGGGAGGGGCCAAGAGGACAGAACATGGCAGAGGATGGATTTGGGAAAGAAAACAGAAGACAATTAACCAGAAAGAATCTTGACCTGGGGCATGCCAGGATCGAGGTCTGACACAGGACAGGGCCTCTCACTCGCAGGACCTTGCCCCAGTTCACCCAAAGAGGGAGGGTCAGAAGCAGGATGTGGCCCCAGGTCCTGGGACTCCGAAGTCAGCATCTACTCCAGCCCCAGGCAGCAGCCCACCTCTGTACCCCAAGGAAAGGAAATGGCTGTCTGAGGCTCTCATAGCTGACAATGACCTAGCACATCACCCGCCACCGTGGCTGAGCCAAACAACAACTACCCAGAGAAGCTGTGAAAATCTCCTTTTCTTACAGATGAGGAAACTGAGGCTCAGAGAATTTCTTTAAGTTACACAGGCAGTCTTCCTGAGTCCCCATCTAGGCATTGCTTGTCAAGGATTCTAGGTCTATGATCTGTACGTTCCAGACAAAATCCAGGCCAACAGAACATCATAAAGGTGCTGACAACATCGGGGTGACGATCTTGACAAGATGTGGGCACAAAGAGGAGATGGTCTGTTTCCCCAAAAACCCTATAAAAAGGAGCCCTCTAATTCCTGCCCCTCAGGCCCTGGGGTCCATGCTGCCCCGTGTGCCAATTTGGAGCCCTGGCTATGTGAGTGAGAAGCTCAGCCTCTCCTCCTGCCCATCCTCTTCCTCACGAGATCTCCATCCCATTCCCTGGCCCCACACCACCACCTGCCCCTCGGAGCTTTCTGCCCCTACATGCTCTGTTTTTAATGCAGATGTGGAAAACCTGCAGACTCGAGGCCACATGTGGCCCTCAAGTGCGGCCCTTTGACTGAATCCAAACTTCACAGAACAAATCCCCTTAATAAAAGGATCCGTTCCATAAAACTTGGGACTCAGTCAAAATTATTAAAGTGTGATTGCTGCCCTATTTCTCATTGCCAATCCCAGTGTCTCCTGGTGAATATCCAAAGAACTGTTTGTGCCTGCCCCTATAATTTCCTACATTAATGATCAATTCACCACCCAATGGGTTGGAGGCCCCCAGCCTTGTACAGCCACCAGCTCCAGGCTTCCTTCAAAGGTGACAGTTGCCTTGGTGAGGGCCACCTCAGAGGGTCGCTGTGGGAGAACTCTTGTACAAGACTCCAAACACAGCACTGTATTCCCACCGGCTCTCCTTTTGGATTCCTCCGGCTACTCATCAGTACCCTCTGCCCCGAGATTGAAGGTGGAGCCATAAACTTCTCCAATTAAGAAAGGAGCAACAGAACGGACATCTCCTCATTTCCCACCCATCTGCCCTCATTTGGGCCTTTTTGGCTTCTCCCCACCCCTCATCACCCCATGATTCAGCTTTATTTTGTGGGTGGTCTTCCCCCCCACATATCCCCCAAAACTAAGCTCCTTGAGGTAAAGGGCCATTTTTATGCAGAGGACTCCCAGACTCCCCCAAGTCCCCGTCTCCAGCTGCCCACTGGAAACCTCAAATGGGATGTCTTAGAGACATCATATATCAGCATGTCTGTCTTTCCCTGCCCCCATTCCGAAACTCTCTAAGAGGCTCCTCCTAACCTCCTTATTTCTGCTAAGGGCACCACCACCTTTCCAGTGTTCTGGCTTCTATTGTAACCTCATGATACTGAATAATACTTCTGGACTCCTCACTCTCGCTCACCCCGTATTTGCTTGTCCTTTATTTTTGAAGATGACCAATGACATCACTGGATGATACCTTGACTTGCTAATTAATCAGATTTAAGTGAAGCAGAGTTGCAAGTCAGCCCCACTCTCTTCCAGAGTCATCAAAGTCCAGTGGCCAGATAAAAGTCAAGGCAGCTGCCAAGAGCTCAGGGCGCAGTGGACGACCCTGGCGTTTTCCACGTCTGACCAAGCTCTGAACGCTCCCTGGGGCCTGCTTCAGCCCACCCACAGAACTGCGGAAGTCTTCACATGTTTGGAGCAGACATCCCCCCCCAAGGCACACACGGGTTTGAGGTCTGCTGCTCACTCTCAGCATGCTTTAGCCTGAGACGGTTTTCCCAGGGTCTGGCCACCTGCGTGCTCCAGCTTCTTAGAGCTCACCCCCAACTAACGAATCAATTGCCAAATGTTGCCACTCACAAAGCCACTGTCTTAGCTCGGACCCCCTCACCTCCTGCCTCCAGTCCATCCTCCACACTGCTGCCACAGGAATGTTCCTTTCTCATGGTTCTGACTACATTAACATCCCCCCCCACACACACTTAATCAACACCACTGGCTCTCTACTAACTCCAAGATCAAAGAGAAACTTCTCTGTTTAACTTTTAAAGCTGTCCACAGCCTGGCCCCAACCTAGCTTTCCAGCCACACTGGACATGACTCCCCTCCCCACACTCCCTACTCACGTGCTCTCCTCTCCTGACCATCCGCTCCTCTCCTTACAGTCAGTAGCCTTTCTCCCACCCTGCCCTGTATTTAACTACTTTGTACATATTTGTATTTATTCTCTTTATATTGGAGTCAATAAGGTGGTACAGTGGGTACAGTGGATAGAGAGCTGGGCCTAGAGGGAGGGAGACCTGGGATCAAATTCAGCCTTAATAGCTGTGTGAGCCTGTCTGAGTTGGCCCCTCTCGACTTCAGCTTCCTCATCTGTAAAAAGGGGATATAACACCTACTTCCCAGGGCTATTGTGAGAATCAAATTAGACTATATTTATAAAGTGCTTAGCAAACCTTAAAGCCCTATAGAAATGCTAGCTATTATTACAATTTAGTACAATAAATTATTACAACAAATGCTTTTATTATAAGTTCATGATAATTAGCACTTTTACCAGTCTTCAGGAAGCCCATTCCCCACCAATGCAGCCCATCCTTCTTTATACTGAGCCCAAATCAGTCTCTCTATCACTTCACAGCAACTGTGAGGAGCTGGAGGGGCTCCATAACCCCTGCCCCAACCCATAAAGGTCAGGAATCCCCATAAAAACATCTCCAACTAAGAGTCACCCATCCTCTTCCTCAAGAGCTCCAAGCGCTAGGGAACCTCCCCGTCCCTGGGCAACGCCCTTATTTCACGGGATCATAAGCTGTAGAGGACATGATAGGGAGAGAGCTCTCCCCCTCTCCACTCCCGCCCCAAGTCTCCAAGTAGGGGCTGGATGCCTCCTTGTCAGGCACAGGTCCCCTCCCGGCTTGGCTTCTGGCCTGGTCTGGTACAGAGCCTGAAGGAGCTGGGGAAAGCTGCCTGGCCCTCCTGAGCAGGGGCACAAGTCCTTACCTCCACAGGAACGGGTGGCAGCCTCCAGGGCCACTCTGGGCTGGCAAGTTCAGGAAAAAGACTGGAGGAGCTGTGGCAAGGGCCCCGTCAGCACTGAGAGGAAGCTGGGGGTGGCACAGGGCAGGCGCCGATGCCGAAGAGGGTAAGTGCGGATGGACATCACTGGTTCCTCGACCAAGAGAAGAGATTCTGCCAAGGCATCCCAGCAGAAAAGGCGGGGTCAGTGACAAGCTCTGGACAATCAGGGGCTATTCTGAGCCAGAACCTTAGTAAAAGGCCCAGAAAACAAGGAGCCCAAACCCAGCCCAAGCTAAGGCCCCCGAGCCTGGGCTTGAGGGAGAGCCCTTAAGTCAGGAGCCCACAAGTAGGGGAGCCTGGAACAGCACCATGCCTTAGAACGTGGCCCGCCCAAAGGCAGGGACCCTGTTTGGGCCCTTTTTTGTTTACCTAGCATTGTAGTAAACCCCTAATCAATGCTTGTTAACTGCCTGCCTGCCCCAGGAACCACGCCAGGATATGGCAGCCAGGAGGGCTGTTACTCAGCTGGTAGCTTTTCTGTTTAGAAGAGTACCAGGCAAGCCAGGATCTCTGTGTCACTCCAGGCCTTGGGGTCCTGACAAGCACCAGGCATGGGGGGCTCTGGAACCCCAGAGCACCTCTTAAGTCAGCCATCAGCTTGGAAAGAGAAGTGTAAACACAGCCACAGCCTAACTGGCTGATCCCTGAGGGACAGGCCCAAATATTGAGCATTCAGTGGGCTAAAGTTCAACTCTATCTTTCAAAGCAAATACTAGAGTTGGTGATGTCAGCTCCCTTCCTCTCTCCCACCCCGTCCAGGCGCAGCTGCTGCCTATCATGCACTGTAGGGTCACAAAGGGAGTTTCCAGGGCTCTGGAGGCCCCAGGAGCCACTAAGGAACTGCCCCACTTCAAGCCAGGGGAGGAGAAGGACACTCCCATCTCATTTGGAGGAAACCCCAAATACAGAAAGCCTGATCTTGTTTGGAGTTAACTGTCGGCATCACCCAGGAATCCCCCTGCCACCAGCCACTCCTAGGGCACCCCGCCGACAGCTGAACAAAGGCCCAGAGCTGGAGCTACTGGTGGGCAGGGGAGGCTCCCTGAGGGCCCTCTGCCAGTGCCGTTTCCCTCCCACCAGCTAGTTTTTGGTCCCTTCTTTGTTACTGTCATTTGCCCCCAAACATTTCCCGTGGCCAACAAGGGGATCCATTCTGTCAGAGCAGGCACAGTGAATGCAGGGACTGTCCCAGCATAACTACACCCCAAATTGGGCCGTTATCTAAGACCTCAGAGAATCATTAACTCACCCAGTGAGCCTGGTAAGAGGCGGAGGGCAGGGACCAAAGGCAGCCCTCCTAAAGCATGGGGGCTGAACCCCGGCCTCTCCTTCTGTTTCATGAGGTACTTTCAGTCTTATGCCATGTCCAGGCACTTGGCAGGACCCAGAAGGACAGATGGGAGGCACGTCTACATTCCCTGAGCAGTCTTCAAACACAAGAACCTGGGAGTTCTATCCCCTCATTTTCCTGTGTCTAGAATTCCCTGAAGGCTCCTGGGACACCTTGTCAGCAAGGTCACAAGAGCTCCCTGCCTGGTAATCTCTGCTTAAAGAATCCACCAGCTTAGGAGGCAATGACCCACATACAGGCTGCCTTCTGGCCTCCTCAATCTTGGGGGGCCCACTCCACTGCCTCCTCAACCAATTTCACACTTCTCTTCTGGCTGCAGGCAGAAAGAAACCAGCCAGGCTCCTCTTAGTCTAGCTGGGGACAGAAGCGAAGGGAGGAGAGACACCAAATCCCAATGCTGGTGGGAACGGCCAAGGGGCGCGAGGACTACAGGCCCGTGGCAGTGAGTGCCCGCTCCTCAGGGTTTTCAGCTTCCTTGGCTTCTCCCGACCCCAAAGCCTGCCCAGCCACATCACCCCAGAGAGCCCCAGGCTAACACCAGCAGCCCCTCCTCCCCAACACCCGCCCTCTTACTGGATCCGAAGAGATGGGGCTCCCAGCCTCTCTCGCCTCCGTTTCATGCTGCCGCCGCTGCTGCTGCCTGGGCACCTCCAGCCCTTGTTATAGCAAGCTCAGAGCAGGGATTAGGGCGTGGGGCAGGACCCAGCCAGGGCAGCAACACACGGAGCTCCAAGACACCCTGGGGCTCAATCCAAGGGAATTCACGGGGACGGCCCTCCTGGCTGCCCAATGGAACTAAGAGCCCCTGCCCTGGAGGCTCCAAAAAAAGGAAAGGTAGCCCTGGCTGACACTGATTTGGAAGAGGAGGCACAAACCTGCTGGGAGGGTCCTCCTAACATCACTCACTCTGGCCGGCAGCAGCAGCCCAGGGCCGGGGTCGGTCTGGAAATGCGTCCCCAGCTCCGTGCCACCCGCCACTGTCCACACGTCAGGCGAGCTCCCGTGGGGGGGAGGGAAAGGGGGAGGAGGCCTGGCCCAGGCTGCACATACCAACAGGCAGACTCACACTGGGACAGAAATACAGTTATCACTCACAGAAACCCAAGAGCTGTGAGCAGACCACAGAGCAGCTGCTCCAGGCAGGGGCCAGGGGCACAGGGGACCGAGCGTGCTCATCGGGCCATTTTTGGAAATCAAAGTGCTCAAGAATTTGCTCCTCCCCAGGCAGGGTCCCCCCCACCCCACCCCAGGCCCCTGGCTCCTGTCGGAGGGAGAGAAGAGAGGCAAGGGCTGACCCTGTGGGGGGCCTAGGGCAGCTCCCCAGGGCCAGACTATGACAAAGTGAGGTGGGGAGAAAAACCTCAGCTCTAGCCCATTCACACGTTAGAGAGCACTCATCCTCTGGCAGAACTCGATGATTTAGTGATTTAAAAGCTGTGAGGGCAGAGGTGAACATACGACTTCCATTTTGTAGCTAAGAAAACCGAGGCTCAGAAGCAGATGCCTCGCTCCCCAGCCCCACAGCTCCGTGGCGGGGGCACCATGTCCGCGTGACCTCCTACTGTCCAGGAGTACGCAGGGCACACCAGAAAGGCCACTGGGCCTCGACTGGCCGGGAACCCTTGGCCTACTCCGTGCAAGGAAGTCAAGCAGGCCTGCAACCTCAGACCTTCGGCTGTCTGCGTCCCAGACATGGCGGAGACATCGAGATCAAGGCCAGGTCCCCACTCCTGGAATGCCTGCCGATGCCAACAGGCTCAGTGCTGACCAACGGTCTCTACCAATAAATACAGCAAACATCATCACCTAAAGTTTCTTTCATAGGGTCTGAATTTCAGTCTCCTGAAATCTGGTTGTCAAAGGGTTAATAACCTCCCCTCCCCCCCACCCCAAACATAACCAACCCAAAAATAACCCTGGCTCATGGCCCTGGGCAGGGACCACAATGATCCTAGTGATCACCGCCCCCTGCTCACATTACAGACCCCTTGGCTCCCTCCCGGCCACCTGACCCCAGCAGGGTCACTGGCACCTTTAAATACACACATTGAGAGGAGAGCAGAAGGGAGAGCTGGGCCCACACTGCTGTTCCTCCAGGCTGCACAGTCACACAGACCCATGTTCCCAAGGACCAGGATGCTGGCCTAGCTCACCAATGGGCACACGATGCTGGCCAGAGCCACACGGGTCTTTCTGTACTGAGCAGACAACCTCACGTGACAAACAGAAGCCCAGAGGACTCCTGGTGCCCTTGAGGGGCAGCCCAGAGCAGGCCAGTGGGTAATGTGGCGCTCACAAGCCAAGCCCTTGGGTAGCCAACACTCCCACAGGCTGCAGCTTTGAAATCAGGGCCACCTGGGTGGCCTCGCAGGCCCCGGCCAGCTCCCAGTAGATCCCTCAGAGTTACTGCAAAGTAAGCAGCAGGACCCCAGAGGCTGCTGTGGCCTCTCTGACCCACTGCTGACGGTCAAGGGAAGGTGGCCCAGAGCTCGGGGCAGGGGCTGCCTCCTCCAGCAAGCTCTTCCAGATCCCTCCGAGAGGTCAGTGTTTTCTCGCTCCCAGAATCACTCTGTATAACAGACTTTTGCTTCTTTGCCCACAGACATACAGCCTCTTCCCAACTCCAAAGCACCACATGAGCTCCCTGAGGGTTCCCCCGAACTCAGCACAGCGCCTAGCCCAGAGAAAGAACGCTTCATCGGCTCTGCCCCTTATTCCCTGGATGACTTTGACCAAATCACAATTCCTCATTACAGGATCAGTACACTTGAAATCCTATGACCAGATCAATAATCAATCAATCCCTTTACAACCCCCCAACGGAACTTACAGACTCAAACCTGAGCGCTGGGTTTACATGGCCTGGCACAATCCTGGTAGCCTCTCTCACATCTGAAAACATCTGAATTTTGGTAGACCTGACCCTCAACCAACTTTCCCCAGGGAATATCAGCATGTGGCTTATGTCTAGGTCTTTACAGAAAAGGTAAGGAGCCCTCAGCTCCCAGGCAAGCACTCAGGCTAACAGAAACTCAGAATAGGACAGGCTTTATAAACTCCCACAGAAAACACACAGGAAAGTCCGCTGGCCTGTCCAGCACCTAGCACAGTGCTTTCAACATGGAAGGGACTTAGCAAATTTAACTGAACCACAGGTTTGGGTCGGGAACCAGAAACAGAACCACAGAGTCACCTCAGGTAGCCTAACCCATACCTCCTGGGACAGGGGCTCCTTTCCACTATCTCCAGTGAGTGGTCCTGCCCATCTTTCCATTCCTCTCTCAGACTGCCTCAACTGTTAGAACTTAGCTTTCAAGTCACTTTCTTTGCACCTTCTCCCTGGTTCTAGTTCTGCCTTGTAGGTCGAGCTGGACAAGGCCTGCCCCTCCTCCAACCTCCTCCAAAGGACAGTCCTTCAAACAAGTGACCACGGTTCTTCTAGGCTCTAGCCAAACACCCTCCATGTTCTTCATCTGATCTCCACGTGACCTGCACGCCAGACCTTTCCCCATCCTGGCTGTTTTCCAACACCCTGAGCTGAACACGATGCCTCGGATAAGACTTGACCAGAGCAAAGGCTCTCAGGGATGGGAAGGAGCTCACCAGTCATAAGGCGGCTGGCGGTATGGCCCACGAGGGGCGCTCAGAAGATCATGGCAGCTCCCCCAGAGCTCTCCAACGTGCCTGCAAAGTGAAGCAGACACCCCTAAACCCTGGTGTTCAGAGCCCTCCGGGATCTGGCTTGCAGCTGCGCTCCCAG